AATTTTGGAAATCAGATTCTCCTCCTTCCCATGGTTTGCTATTTTTTTTTAGGCTATCTCTGTGCTAAGGACCAGCCAGAAGCGTGATCTTAATGTGTTACTTGGTTTTCATCACTGTAAGAAAATACCTAAGACAGACCAGCCGGGCTGCTGCTGCCCTGCCTTTAAGTGGTAGGGTTTCTCAGCCCAGAGGCAGGAGGCAGGCCAGCCAGCTGTGGCTGCCTGTCAGAGGATGCACAAGGATCCAGGACACAGCGTGTGTATATGTGAGTGTGTCTTGGTCTCACGGTGTATGTTTCTGAAGGCAAGTCCAACCCCTCATCTGCTGTAGCTGATCATGGTGTAAGTCAAGGTGAAGCAGCAGCTCCAGCCCCAGGATAAACATACCAATGTCTCTGCATGAAGAACCCATGAAACAGCTGGATCTGCTCATACAGGTTGTTTTAGTCAGCTCTTTCATTGCTGTGACCAAAAGACCTGACCATAACAATTTTAAGAAGGGAAATTTTATTTTGGAGCTCATGGTTTCAGTCCATAGAAAAGCCAGATCCATTCCCTGCAGCTTCAGTTGTGGAAGAACATCATGGCAGAACAGTGTGGTGGAAGGAAGTGGACTTGGAAGCAGACTCTACTTGTCAAATACAAAGTATATATTACCCCCAAACTACTTCCCCAGGGACTCACCTCCTCCAGCCACACCCTAAACACCCTAGTCTACCACTCAACTAATCCTATCAGGGGAATAATTCACTGATTGGGTTAAGGCTCTCACAATTCAATCAAGCAAGTGTGGGGGGGGGCTGTGGCAAGGCAGAACATAATTATAGGAAAGTTTCAAGGTAGAGGAGGCTGCTGCTAATCCAATGGCATCCAAGAAGGAGAGACAGACAGATAAACACCATGGTCAACATGAACCCTGCAAGGACATGGCCCTAGTGATCTACCTTTTCCAACTAGGCCCCACCTCCTAAATTTCCAGGATCTCCCAAGAGCACCACCAGCTGGGAATCAATCTTTCAACATGAGCCTGAGGGGGACCTTCCAGATCCAAAACTAAAATATTCTTCCCCTGTCTCCAAAGATTCATGTATATCTCAATATAAAATGCATTTAGTTAGTCCAAGTCTATAGTCTCCTCCAACTCAGGCAAATTGTTTTTCTGTGAGTTCCTATTTTAAAAAAAGTTACAAATTCTAATATAAAATGTTGGGACAGAGTAAACATTCCCATTTTAAAAGGGAGGGATAGGAAAATAGCAAAGAGGAATGGGACACAACCAAGACTGAAACCCAAACATTAAATCTTGTAGCTCCAATATTTGAGGCACATGGTGGTGGGATGTGGGTCCCTTGGGCATCTATTTCTGCTGACTGCAGCCCACATGGCCATACTCTTGGGCTAACCCTACAAGTTGCCTGCAGCTTTCCTTAAAAGACATTCTATTTTCCTAGCATGTCCAAATTACTGAGATCTCCAATGCATCTTTGACTTTATTCTCTCAGCATCATGTATCACTGTCTCAGGGGCTGCCCACAGAATTCTCATGTTATTATACCCTACTACACATTTCCTAGCCTCCCAGATCTTCTTAGAAATCTCAGTTGAGACCCCCACTACTCCATGATTCTTGCATCATTAATGCCTGAAAACACAGCACATGTATGATGTCAAGTTCTGCCACCAGCATGATTTGTAGCTGTGCCTGTTCAGCCCATGACTGCAGCAGCTGTGAGTGCCTGGATAGCTGAACATGGTAAAATTCCCTGAAATTTTCTCTGCCAGATAAACTACTATAACATATTTAAAGTAAGCCTTTCACAAAGTCTCAGGACAAAGACACAAGAAAACAAAATTCTTTGCAATAATGTAACTTAGATGAATTTTAATCCACCTATAAAAATTGATGTACCTAACCAAGAACACCAACATATATGATGCAAAATTAATAGAAATGAGAGAGAAATAGTGCTAGAACAAAATTTGGAGACTTCAATACCCTATTTCTCACTAGTGGATAGAACAACCAGACAAGATAAGTAAAGAAATAGAAGAGCTGGAAAACATGATGAACCAAATAGATCTTAAACACATACACATAATACTCCACCCAATGACAATAGTATACACATTTTTCCTCAATTGTATGTTGGACATTTATCATGATAGATCATATTTTATGCCATTAATTAAATCTCAATTTATTTGAGAATAAATATATTAAAGTATCTTTTCTTACTACATGATAAAACTAAGTTAGAAAGAAAAAAACTGAAAGAGTCCCAAAATTATGAAAACTAAACAACATATCCCTGAAAATCGAAGAATTGAAGAAGAAATCTACAAAAAAATCATAAAATTCTTACAGACAAGTGACTATGAAAATAAAATATGGGATACAGTAAAATTACTAAGAGGAGAAAATTTGTAAAAAAGGAAAAAAGAAAATTCATAGCTATGTTTACATTAAAAAATAAGAAAGATATGAATTTGTCAACTTTTCTTCTTAAGAAACAGTAAAAAGAAGAAAAATATAGCTTTCAAACATAATAATAAAGGTTACTACAGAGATAAGTAAAATAGAGAATAGAAAAATAAGAGAGAACATAAGCAAAACCAAAATTTCATTTTTTGAAAAGACCAACAAAATTGACAAACCTCTAGCTGGAAGGACCAAGCATAAAAAAAGAGAAGACTCAAATTACTGAAATCAGGAATGGAAGTAGAACTACTACTATCAATTCTACAGAAATTAAAAAAAAAAAACTTTAAAAGAGTGTATGAATCACGTGCAGAGGCAAGACAGTTTGAGAAAATAAGATTAATGATCAAGATTTAAGGAACTCCCTTATTTAATGATTGAGAAGAGAAGGATGAAACTTCAAAAGATCTGAGGAGAAATAGATAAAAAGTTAGGAGGAAATCAATGAATGAAAATTGCCAATGGCTTTGAGTGAGGGAATAATTAATATTGCTGTTGAGTGAAGATTCTTAATAAGTATGACACACAGCATCAATTGCAATAAATGGATGTCTGAGTGGTTTAATGACTACAGTGGTTGCTGTGATGCACATCCCAGAATGCTCTTAAGGAATGAAGGTCATATTCTCCCAGATATTGGGAGTGCTGCCAGCAGACAAGCTTTATCAATCAGCCTCTTTGAATAATTGATTTGACTAAAGAGATCCTTCTTATCCAAAGGCATAAACTCTTCATCACAGTCTTCAAACAGTAACCGATCATCATAAAGCTATCACTCTGCTGGATAAAACCTATCACCTCTGCTGGATAAAACGTCTTAAGTTCATGCCAGTTTTGGACTTCTATGTGGGGCAGGCTAAGGCCTTGTCTGAGATTGGGGATCACAGCTTAGCTTCTCACTCTGCCTTTTGCTTCCTGTCCTTTATTTCCACAGATATTGATCTCTAATACACCTTCTGCATACCCAACTCCATCCTAAGAATCTGCTTCCCAGAAAACCCATCCTGAGATACTTTGTCTTATTTATAGGGAGTGGTGATGAATATGAGAAGCAAAAGGTAAGAAATGATAGGTAAATGAAAAAATTTAACAAGCAGGAATGGGAAACGCATTCAGTAGTTTGCTTTCACAGATAGATGAAAAATTCACAGCAACATTAAGAACTCACCACTCTACCCCCCTCTTCAGTAATGAGACATATATGGATAAATTCTATATAGTTGAAGTTAACCTTCAACAGAGTGAAGAGAAGTTAGTATTATTTTTATTATATATGGACATGAAGTTTTTTAAACAAGTATTATTTCCTTATGGGGTTACAGAAAGAAATAACTCCATTTAATTTTAAAAAAATTATCTTAATCAGTTATACATGACAATAGAATATCATGGGAAGCGAAATAAGCCTATCAAAAATAACTCCATTTTTAAATAATCAAAATAAACATTCAAATTTGCTACTTAACTTAGTCTGCCAATCAATTTTTTTCAGGGATTGCCCACACTAGATAAAACTGGATTTGGGGAACTACCCCTTCCACATCATTTCGGAGCCAATTTAACTATAATTTCTACACTTTAAACAGAGACCGAGGCCATTTCAGATATTTAACTTCAGTATTCCAGAAACTTCTGAAAAAGCGTTTCTCTGGAGATTCAAACAAAGGTGTCAAAAAATGTTTTTATAAGGAATAACATTTTTCGAGACTTAACAAATCGTTTATATGGCAATAAATGACAGTTTTGACTGAGACATGAAAGTGTAAGTGGAAGAAGGGGTTAAATAAGTCTAGAGGAAAAAGCTCAGGAAGTGGGGATTTTCAGGGAACTAGTAACAAGACTTCTTTAGGAAGACGTCTAAAATTTTTTCACACCACTACTGTATGATGACTCCAAAAGGCCTGCCTTAGTCTTTTCAAACAAGGGCAAGGCATGAAAACTTGGGCTAGAAGCAAAACGACAAAAAAATTTACGATTGACCCCGGAAATATTTTATTTTGCGTAGACGTCCGGAGAATTTTCTTTTGCGATTTGTTCCTTGATCCGGAAGAAGAGATGGCAAACTTCACTCGCGATTGGATCGCATCGTAAGGGCGGAGCCTTAGCGAGCCACTCGCCTTAGTAACCGGACATGACGATACAGGATGCCCCGGGCCTGAGCTTCGCTCCGGCAACCGGCTTCGGTGGGCGGGGCCGGTAGAGCCAAGTGGACGCTGCCTTCTTCAGCGATCAGGTCCTTGTTGGGGGCGGTGTCATTAAGGCCACACCTCCCTCTCCGGCTTCGAGGGCTGCGGAGCGATGACGTAGATTCGGAGGCGGAGACTTACGCCTGAATCTCCGAGAGGGTTTGGGAGGGTGCAGACGCGGCGCGGAGCCTTCCGGTTTGTGGGTGGCTGCGCCACCTCCCTCGGAAGCTTGGGGATACGCCCTCTCGAGAGCCTGAGGTCTCCCTCCGTTCCGCATCAAACCCCTCACAATTGCTTCAGGGCAACTGAAGCCCAATATTCTCTCGTTCTGATTTTCGCTTCCTTGAGAACCTCGGCCCCACATTCCCCACTTTGCTGGATGATCTGTCCCTTCCCCACCCTCTAAAATGTCCAATAATCTACAGAGGGTCTTCCTGAAACCCGCAGAGGAAAATTCAGGCAACGCCTCACATTGGTAAGTACCGGTTTCGAACCCTCCACGCGCCCGCCCCTGGCCCGGTCTCTAGGCAGGCTGTCGAGGGGGCCGTCGTTTCCCGATGCTGCGCAGTATACCGGAGTCGGACCCCGCCGAGTGCGCTACTCCAGCGGAAAGCGCTCGTCGCCGGTGCTCCAGCGAGCGTCTCCCTCCCGGAAACGGCTCTCCGGAGCCTGACGCACGCAGCCCTGCGCGGGCTCCTCAGGACTCCAGCGGCTCGAGTTTCATAGGCGCATTGAGTAGATCTCCACGGGCGAGGAGAATCAACATGGCCGACGCACTGTGTGACCAAGCCCTTCTAGAAGATTCTCAGGCGCAGGCAGAAAAACACGCTGTGGGCGTGGATTAGCAAGTGCAGCCTTGGGGGCGCGCTGGACCTTCAGCTAGAATAGGCGCCTTTTCAGAGAGTTAGTGAGAAAGACAGGATATAAAATGGAAGAAAAGTTGTGCTAGGACAAGGAAATAGAACATTTTAATCTTGAAGTAATAGCTTTATGTAAAGAGGAAAGTAAAGAAATTCTCATGTAAATCCAGTACTTTTTAACAGCGTCTTTGAAGCTGGTATATGAGATTGTGACATCATTGAGTGTCTATATAGAGAGCACAATAGTTGACTGGAGGGGCGTTCAGTACGATGTATATGCTTTAGATAGTTTTTTAGAAAGACATTCTTGTAAACTTTGGGAAATTGATTATCAGTAATTCTGTATTTTTTAAAAATTTGTTATTCTAAATGGGAACAACAAAATATTAACTAGAGGGATATATACCATAGTCAGTGTATTTTAGGTGCGAGAATAATATTAATAGGTCTCCAGACTGATTACAAAGAACGATATTAGAAGCAAAACTCATAAAAGGGAATTTGTGTTTGAAGAAAATCAGGCCATCTGATGTAATCCCAGCTTTATGGGTTGGTATTTATGAATTCCAGGGCTTCAGTTTCCAGTTTGTAAATAATAGCATCTAGAGATATTTTCAGATTTAAAAGAAAAAAAAAATATATATATATATATATATATATTTATATATATCATATATATATATATATATGATAGTGTTAAGAAAAGAGTAAGGCACTATTAAAATATTAGCTGTTTTTGATATGTGAACAACCCAGGACATAGGATTATTACCTGGCTTAATGGTAATTCTTTAAAATTATGCATAGTATTATAAAAGGAAACTGTTATTAATAAGTACTAAGCTAGAACAATATTAAAGAACTACTTGGAAAGAACCGTTGTATTGCACATCATAAAAAGAGTCAGCTTTTGTGTATATACAGTTTTTATTTTGTGGAAGTTTTGGGGAAGGTGCAGAGATAATGCTCTGTATGTAGATGCAATAGTAGAATTGTTTTCTAATGATTGTTTAATTTTTCTTACCTTGTTTTAGTATTTAGGTATTTGGTAGCTCTGACTTAGCATAATTTGTAGACAGTTCATTTTAAGATTGCATTAATTTTCAAAATCAGGAATAAGATTTGAGATATTTTAAAGGATATTTATTGTGTACTTGAATTTTTTTAATCCAGCTTCTAATCCTTTTGGTTATTTTTTGACTTTTTAAAAATCATTGCCAGTTGAATTGTTTTGGTTACATTCATAAATCACTTCAAGTTGTTAACTCATTGGTTTATGCATTGTTGTTTCTTCATATTTACATGCATTTATTTCTTTAAATCGTTGAGGTTTTTACGTCACATATTTTGAACATTCACCCAATAGTTTCCTGTAGCTATTTAGCACTTCAATTATCAATTGCATATTTGATTCTATTCTGTTTTGTAAGTAATAGCATGCATATGTCCAAATATAATTCTGTAAGTAATGATTAATGGCATCTATTTTAGTTTAATGGAAGTTTAGTTATTTTTATGGTAATAATTTTGATGGTACTAAATCATTTGTTCATAAAATGACTGATTTTCTTAATTTCTGTAGTTTGAATTTTTCCTGAGTTATTGCTCTTTTCCTTTTTAGGAAAATTCAGTAACATGGTATGGAATGTTTATTGTAATTCATCCAGATTTAAAATGTAAAACCCAAATTTAATCTTACAAGTTCAAATGGAAAATCTGGAGAATATTTGTGATAGTACCTATGTAGGTTTGCACTGAGTACCTACTATGTGCTAAATTGGGAGACTGAAGAATGGGCTATCAGCCATTGCCATGAAAAACCTTATAGTCTAATGAGAGGGTTGAGGAGAAGCAGATGTATAAATTTTATGATCGTGTTATTCATGAGGTGCTATCAGAGCGAGGGCACAGAGCGAGGAAGTTATAGGAAAGGTTTCAGAAGCAACCAAGTTAGGAAACATAAGTGTCAACCATCCAGTTAAAGACAGATACAGGATATGGCCAGAGAAAATTTGGTAAATAACCAATATGGTTAGTTTCTAACAATTTAGAATTTGCTTGATTTTTTTGTATTATGAAAAGGATAAGTAGAGCACTCTTAAGAGTTGGCTTGCCCTGCTGAAGAGGTTATTTTTCATCTGTTGGAGATTGTTTAGAAGATTTTAGGAGAAGAATGACATGCTTAGGTGTATATTTTAGATAACTGATGTCAGTATAGATTTGAAAGTAAGGTAGGTCTTTTCAGAGATCCTGAGTGTACCTGAACTAGAATGGTGTATAGGAGGCATTGGATTTAAAGTAGTAGAATGGAAAATGAGCAGACCTTGTTATTGATTGCCATGAAGAAAGTGAAATCAATGATAGTATGAGTTTTCTGGGTGTATATTGGTAAATTAACTGAGATGAAGAATACACAAAGCAATCAGAAGGATATTTGAATCTGAAACCCCAGGATGAAAGCTAAAAATAGAAAATTAGGAGTCATAAGTTTAGAGGTATTATAACATAAACCTGTGATTATACATTCCCCAGCAATAGGAATTAATTAGTTATGTGATTGGCAGTTAGCTTCTGTCCTCCCTTAACCCTTTGTTTTCCAGCTATAATTAGCGTCCTCAACAGGGGTCTTGCTTTGGTTAGAAAGATAATGTTTCAGTTTGATGTACATTTGAATGTACAAGTTTCATTTTTACTTTTGAAATTTGTATGAGCATGTGAGATGGGGGAGGGAGAGAGGGAGAGATAAATTGTATATACATGCTAACAAATCTGTCATTAATCTGTCGGTTGATACATTTGAATTTTGGGGCTCTGTTTTGGTGGAGTTATGCTAAATACAGAAAGTGAATAGGATTGTTCAAGAAGAGCATGTATTCTGCAAAAGTTTACACTATTTCTAACCACCTTGCTTTTTCAACTACGAAGTGTTAATGACACTCCCCACCTAGTTGGGCAATTAGAAGTACAATTAATGACAACTATTATAATACATTTAATATGTGACATGTTATTATATATAACAAGTACTTACATATATTATGTATGTACTTAATGTTGCATATTAGATAGTAAGATAGAAAAGGGACTCCTAGCAGTTGAAATGATGTATTTTATGGGAATATTTCAAAATTTTTTTCATCCCATTTGAATATGCATCTCATGCCAATATTAGAATACTCAAAAAGTTATATAATAACGTCAGTATGTTTAATAGGCTTTTTTTTTTTTTTCCTTTTGGAGATGGAGTCGCACTCAGTTGCTCAGGATGGTCTTGAACTTGGCTCAAGTGATCCTCCCGTTTCAACTTCCCAAATTAGCTGGGATAGGTTGTGCACCACAGTGCCCTGCTTAATAGGCCTTTTGGTTAGTTTTTATAATGTTTTCAAAAGACTTTATTTTTGGACACCAATTGCAAAATTTAATGGAAGACTATATCTATCATGCTCCAAGGCAGTTATAACATTATAGCTATCCTTATTTTCTCCATATAACAAATGAATAAATAAAGATTTGAAGAGAACATGTAAATTTCTTTTTAAGTGACCAAGCCAGAACACGGGAAGTAGATTCTGATTCTAGTTTTAGTTCAGTCATCCAGCAGAATATGATCTTTAAGAAAATAGCATCTTTGTAGGATTTAATTAGTTAGTTAACCTTTTAAATGGAGTGTTAACTTCTAGATGTGGGAAAAAAAGAATATTGATTGAAAGAGTATGAATTTTACTGTAATGTATCACTTTTTTCCTTAACTTTCTCCATTTCAGCTTATTACTTAGAATCCATTCTATTTTATTGCCAGGAAATTAGGGATTTTTTAAATTATAGTTTGTAGGATTCAATCCAGCTAACTTTATTACCTCTAAAGTTCATTTGCTCTATTATGTGCACAGGATGTAGGTATTAATAGAGTAAACTACCCTTGAGGAATTTATGTTCTCTGGTAGATTATGTGGATCTTTACTGATACGTAGACTTGGAAGAAGCTGCATTTTCCCTCTTTTTGTGAAGGGAACATGTGGGGAGTTCAATAATTAGATTTCAAAATAATTTTTGCAATAATTTTTTTAAAGCAGAAATGTAGAGGCCATCTAATGTAGTGTGTAAAGGATCAGAAATATATGTAATTTGTTGAAATACCATCTCAATTAAAACATGTTTGCTCTTACACAAATGTGTTCTGCTCACATGAAACTTCTAGTTGTTAGACAGATTTTGCTGATAAATGAAGTATATAATTATATTAAAGGATACTAGACAATAAAAAGCATTGAGATAGTTGAGTTGAAATGATGACTGGAAGGAACTGCATCATTTTTCATATAATATTTTTCAAGGGTCTGCTGTGCTTGGTAGTTGAAGAACAATTGCAAGTCATTGATATGGTCTCTTACCTTAAGGAGTTTCAGTGTTGCTGGGGGAAATATCATTTTGTTTTATTTTTAAAAAAATAGCTAGTAGATAAAAGGCAATAAAGAAGGTATTACATAACTTCCAGCATCAGTTGCACCAGTGAAAGTGTTTCAGTGATTCCAAAGTTGAAAGAAACTGTGAGTTTGAATGACTGGCAGGTGTTTTGTGAGGCAGATTAATTTTGAGCTTTTTAAGTTGTTGGAAAATAAAAATTAAAGAATACTTAGAATGAATAAGTTGCATGGCATACTCCAGAATAGCAAAAAGGTCTCTTCATAGAGCAAAGGTTTCATATAGAGAAGTTGTAGATAGTATTCTAAAGATTGATTGGGACTAGGTTGTAGATTTTGGTGTAAAACTGGGTTGGCAGTGATTAACATTGAAACTTTGAGCACAAAGCAACAAGATGAAAACAATTTATCCTAGTATACATACTAGTCAGTAGTAATTGCAACCAGAAAAACTAGCTTAAACATCAAAGCAAAAGAAACCAGATGGAAGAGCTCTAGACAAGATGATGAGGTTTAATCTAGATGGTAGAAGTTGGAATGGTGAAAAAAGAAAAGATGGATGCAGTCTGTTAAAAAATAGAAAACTATAGACTTGGTAATTTATTCAGTATACATTTCTGTACTGTTTATTTTATAAGTATGAATGCAAAGTGCTACAGGGAATCTAAAGTGAATAAGAAGATAATAATGATACGTTAGAGATGACTTGGTGATTTATAGCCTTTATGACCTAGTGTATAGTGCTATCATATGGTTGGAAAGTAGGATAAAGCACTAGTTTTTAATAGAGATTAATTTAAACTTGCTGAATTTTAAATGATGGTATTAAAATGGAAGCATTTTATAAGACATCACAACTATGAAACTGAGATCAATATTGGGTATAGGAATAAAAGCGTATACCCTGAGGAGTCAGTATTACGAAGGAAGTAGTTGAGGGGAATATTTGAAGCCATGAAGATTGGTATACTCTTTAAGGAAGAATGTCTTAAAGAAGAAAAGCAGAGTCAAGAACTATACTTTGGAGAATAGCCATGATTGAATACTTAAAATGCCAAAAAATGAATAAGGAAGGGAGGGCAAAGAAAATCAAGAGAAACAAATTGTACACACTAGAAACCACAAAAAGAATGAGAGGAGTTTCAAGATGAAAGTATAATTGGCCATCAGTGTCACTTGGCAACAGACAGTACTAAGGGAATGAGGATGAAGACAGACTTAACTATGAAGACGTATTTGGTAATATTTGAGAATGAAGTTTTAATAGAATTGTAGGATAAAAAATAGACTGCAAAAAAGTGGGCTTCAAGACAACTTTCTGGAATATCAGTTCTTAATTGTGGCTCATTAAGAGTATCTACCGTCTTCCTGCCATTGAACTAGGCATCTAGCCCACAGTCTTCTTTCTAATTCTGTATAGACTTCAACATCTATATGGATAATATCTTTGTTGCCTGGTTCTTTGATATGAAGATCTTTTCCCCCAGTTTTTTTTTATTCTCCATTCTGTCATAGCCAGTTAATTCTGTAGTCCTTGTTATCAGATGAAATTGCTGCATCTACAGAATTATTGATTCAGGCATCCTGCTTTCTAAATATCAGGTCTTATATTTCTAGCTTACTTGTTAAATGCTTCCATTGTGGTTTTTTGGGTTGTTTTGTTTTATGCTGAGGATTGAGCATGCAAGTGCTCTACCACTGAGCTATACCCTAGACTTCACTATGACTTCTTTAACTTTATATGACTTTCCAGTCCTTTTTCTTTATATTTTAACCTTGATTCTTTCATTTCCTTTGTATCTAGTTTAGAATTCTGTTTTATCATTTTAATATCTCTTATCAGTTTCCTTTTCAGTTTTCATTGTACCCTTCTGAAATCATCGCCATCCTGTATGAATTCAGCAGTATGCTTTCTCTTTACTTGTGTATAGTGAGAGAAAGAAAATTTCACAAGAGTACAAATTAGTAGCACCACAAATTCACAGTTACTACCTGCCTCCCTCATCCATTAGTGCACACCTGACAACTCTAATATTTTCTGTGGTCAGCTTATTCTTTCACAAAGAGTGTTCCAAATTTTTGATCCTCCTCAAATCTCTCCCTATGTTTGCTTTTATTCCCAGTAGATGATGTCATATCTTTTTTCATGAAGAAAATAAATGCTATCAGATCAGAATTGCAGCTTTCTGACACCAAAGTTATGTACCTTACCTGCAAGTATACCTAACCTTCCTTTCAATTCCAATAGAAGAAGATATTTCTCCTGCTATAAGTTGTAATTCCTCTACTTGTCTTCTGGTTTCTATTTGATAACTCCTTATTGGTCATCTTTAACTCCACTTTTCCTCTTCTAGCTTCTTGCCAGTCTTTCCTCCAGTGTATATATATTTTTATTTTTTTAGATGTTGATGAACCTTTATTTTATTCACTTATTTATATGCAGTGATGAGACTTGAACCCAGGGCCGTACACATTCTAGGCAAATGCTCCACCACTGAGCCACAATCCCAGCCCATCCAGTGTATATTTTTAATCCTATTCTTTCTGTACTCTCAGAAGCTTTCCACATAATTGCCCAATTTTCTTTAAATCCTCTCTTCCTTTGGCTTCCATTGCATCAGAAGTAATGGTTTTCTTTCTGCCATTCGAAGAATAATGGGAAGCAACTAGAAATGTTGTAAGCCAGGAAGGACCAGATTTAGTGTACTGAATGGAACTAAAAGGGAGAGGATATCTATGACCAAAGGGAAAAAGAAATTTTGAAGCTACTGGAGTACTCTTAAGTCAGAGATGATATTTCCTTATCTTAGAGTGGCAACAGTTGATTTGGAAAGAATTGAACAGGTAACGGAATTTAAACAATGATATCGATAGGATTTCTGATGAATTAGATATAAGGGATGAGAAAACAAGATTTACGTGCTCTGACTTAGGTGCCTAAGAGATGAGATAGCAAGGAATTTTGAGTGTAATGATGGGCAGAGATAGTCTAGCCATGCAGTTTTAGGAGCTTTTAAGATTCTGAAAAAAATGTCAAGGGGCAGTAGGGGTATACATAATAAGCCTGTATCTTAAAGAAGGTACAAATATAAATATGGGAATTGTTGACATATAAGTGATATTTTAGTAATCAAAGTTATTTATATAAAAGAAATGTAGGAAAAAGTACAGAATAGGAAAGAAGAGTTCTGTCCTTCAGATTGGATGAGTTAGCAAAGAAACTGAAAGCCTTGGGAAGAGAATATTTTAACAAAAGGAATAAGCATTTTTGTATTCTTTCAAATACATTGTTTTTCTTACTTAATGATAATTGTCTCTACATATCCACTTATGCAGTAGTTTAAGAGATTACAAGTTGGTGTAGCTGGGGAGCCACCAAACACTTTTCTGTATAGAACTAGGTAGTAAATATTTTAGTCTTTGAGAACCATATGATCTCTGCTGTAGCTATTCAACTCTATCATTTAGCATGAAAGCAGCCATGTACAAAAATATAAAGTGTGACTTTGGGTAATATTAAGAACCTATTTATAGATACTGAAATTTGGATTTTGTATACTTTTCACATCATAAAATGTCCTTTTGATTTTTTTTTTATTCATTGAATATATGAAAACCATATGGACTCTTACTCATGTTACTATAATTTAGCATAGGAGATAGTCTATAGATATGAAAACAAACACTGTTATTATATAACATCCTGTGTCAAAGGGAATTAGTTGATATAATGTTATAGATTAATTATGAAGGAAAGACATGGGAAGTTAAGTTGACCAGAGAATGTATCTCTTGAGAAATATTAATTATTCTGAGACTTGAGCTCTATGATGAACTATGTCTGGGAAGAGTACTTAGGTAGAGTGATAGCGTGTGAGATGGCCCTGGAGACCATGAGAGCTCAATATTTTTCAAGAACTGAAAGATAGTTTTAGTTATAAATAACTTAAGATGTCTGCATTTAAGTAATCACCAAATAATTTATTATACAGAGATTTAGTATGTATTGACTTTTCTTAAAATCTAACAATCGATGAGCATCACAATTGGCTTAGTTACAAAGAATGTGTTGATTTCCAGTCTGTTCTACCTTCATTGACAACTGTTCAGCTAAAATTGCCATAGTATTATACAGATGGGTTGATGAGACAATTGATAATTAAACTAATATAAGGACAAGAGACTATTTAGCACCAAACCTCAAATGTACTATAACAAAAATCACAAGAGGAAATGGTTCTTACATGAGTAACCCAGTTAAATCTATAGTATGAAATGTGGCATACTAGCATATCACTATGTGAGATGTCTTAAGGAAAATAAAAGTGGTTGACAACTGAACTTGTGATTCATTGTCAGTTGGAAGAGGATAGAATAGATTTGGAAGAAAAAAGTGAGAATAAAAGAGTAAACATAAGTAGAGGTGGGAATGAGAATCCTGCTAGTAAAAGTAAAGGAGAAAAGGAAAGAATTCAAGGAAATGGAGAAGGGATAATGCTAGTAAAAGTAAAGGAGAAAGGGAAAGAATTCAAGGAAATGGAGAAGTTTCAAGGAGTCTATTCTAGTGTCATATAGGGTAAAACCTTAGAAATCTCTACTGGGAAAAAATGTTAATATCTCATATCTATTGCCTAATTATGAGATATTTCTCTTTGCAAACTCACAATAAGAAATTATGTATTTTATTATACTTTAATAGTTTAAAATAATTTTTGCAAATATTTGTTTAAAAATAAAATGTATATACCATGTAGTATGTTGTATTTATTTACTCAAAATGTTCTTTTAAGTGTTTCAGGCTGCATGTATCAAGTAGTTCAGACGATTGGCTCGGATGGAAAAAATCTTCTGCAATTACTTCCAATTCCTAATTCTTCTGGAAATCTTATCCCACTAGTTCAATCTTCAGTCATGTCTGATGCTTTGAAAGGGAATACAGGAAAACCAGTTCAAGTTACTTTTCAGACTCAGATTTCCAGCTCTTCCACAAGTGCATCAGTTCAATTGCCCATTTTTCAGCCAGCCAGTTCTTCAAAGTATTTTCTTACAAGAACAGTAGATACAGCAGAAAAAGGTAGAGTTACTTCTGTGGGAACTGAAAATTTTACCTCATCAGTTTCTAAAGTTAAGAGTCATGGTGTGAAAATTGATGGACTCACCATGCAAACATTTGCTGTTCCTCCCTCAACACAAAATGATTCATCTTATATTGTAGTCAAAACCCCGAATCTTCCAATGACTGTGAAGTCTCCAGTTTTGCCTTCCGGGCATCATTTACAAATTCCAGCCCATGCTGAAGTGAAATCCGTACCTGCATCATCATTGCCTCCTTCAGTTCAGCAAAAGATACTTGCAGCTGCAACCACAAGTACCTCAGGAGCAGTTGAGTCCTCCCAAATACCAACAGTTATTTATGTATCTCCTGTAAATACAGTGAAAAATATAGTTACCAAGAACTTTCAAAATATCTATCCAAAACCTGTTAAAGAAATAGCAAAGCCACTGATACTAAATACCACCCAAATTCCATCGAAAGTTGCTGCAGAGACACAATTAAAAGGTGGTCAGCATTCTCAAGCTGCTCCAGTGAAATGGATTTTTCAAGAAAATCTACGGCCTTGTACTCCATCTCTTGTTCCTGTTAAATCTTCAAATAATGTGGCTTCAAAGATTTTAAAAACTTTCGTAGATAGGAAAAGTTTGGGAGATAATACTGTAAATATGCCACCATTGAGTACCATCAGTCCTAGTGGGACACAATCCATAAGTGTGCCAATTAAAGATAATGCTTTGGTTATGTTTAATGGGAAAGTCTATCTGTTGGCTAAAAAGGGGGCAGATATTTTGCCATCACAAATTGACCATCAGAATTCTGTTTCTCCTGATATTCCACTAAGAAAAAACACATCACAGGTAGTGAGTTCAAGTCCAGTCACAGAAATATCCAGAGAGGTTGTAAATATTGTTTTGGCTAAAAGTAAATCTTTACAGATGGAGACAAAATCACTTTCAAATACCCAGCTTGCTTCCATGATTAATCTAAGTGCAGAGAAGAATAAAATGTTCGAAAAATCATCTCTTTCTACCACAAACCCACATAACATGAATCAATCCAGTAACTACCTAAAACAGAGTAAGACTTTATTCACAAAGCCAGTCTTTCCAGATGGATTTAGTACAGGACAGAATGCCCCCAGAAAAGGAAATACGATCCAGAGCATAGAGAAAATAAATTCCTCTGTTGATGCAACAACTGTTACTTCACAACAGTATGTTTTCAGAGACCAAGAATCAAAGGTAATTTTCCCATGTCAGGGTATTCTTTTTATATATCTATATAGAAATTTTTTCTTTCTTAATTCTCAGTTATGATACCTCTTTTACCCACCCCCACTCCATCATACATATACTTAATTAAGTCAAAACTCTCATCTGAGTAAATATTGTTTGAAAAGGAGTACAATTAGGCAAGTCCAAACAATATCTTGAATCATTTGGATGCCAACTCTTCAAAACAAAAACAAACTAACAACAACAACCAAAAAAAAAAAAAAAAAAAAAAAGGCAGAACAGCAAATTTTCTTAGAAGAGTTGGGGGGAGGATTATATGACTTCAAAGATTAGTAAAATTGTGTACATACATAAATATATATATATAAATAAAATAGTATGCTTTTAGTATATGAAGAGAGCAACATGTATATAGAGAACTGGGTTTTTTGTGGGGGGTGTGTGTGAGAGAGAGAGAGAAGGTATTGGAGAAATATTCAGGTTTTTTTTTTAATGTGAAAAGGGTGGGATAGGACTAGACAGTATCTTTCAATTGTTTGTGGAAATAAGATTTTATCATTATCTTTGGTGGTGGGTTTATTTATTTATTTTTGTTAAAACAGGTTTCTTTTTTCTTTTTTTTAGCCCTTCTCTCTGACTCCTCATGCCCACCAATTACCCTCTGTTCTTAAGATATGAATGTTTGTGTGCTTACTATATATTCATGTACCTACCTTTTCCTTGTTTTACTTAGAGGTCTGCTTTATAATGTCAGTATTTTTCCTCTTCAGTAATAATCCATTAAACTTTAGAGATGTAAGGGAGTGAATTCTGATAATTACACAATTGATTAAAGACATAATGTTTCAGAAGACTAATTTCTAAATAATGTTACATTTTTTTTAAAGTTGTTATTGGCCTCTATTCTCATTTCAGTTGTTTGAGAATGGACTGTTACCTTTCTAGTGCAACAAGCTAAAGGTAGAAATTGTAGGGGAATGATTTTAGATTTTATTTAAATTCAGTATTTTGAGTGTGGGTGGTAAGGTAAAGGTAATGCAAATCCTTAAAAGCATGATATCTTTTTTATGAAAAATTAAATAATCTCTTAGTTACTAGTCTGATAAATTGAGTAATTAGTAGTATTGTTTGTGTTTTCTTAATTCCAGATACAGAATGAGATGGCATCAACATTAGGAAAAGTCTCTCAAGGAAGAAATGACAAGAAAGTCTCTCAAGGAAATAGTGTTAAGGCATCATGTCTGAAGAGCGATGCTGAATTTAAAAAGATATTTGGTCTCACTAAAGATTTGCGAGTGTGCCTTACTCGAATTCCTGATCATTTGCACTCTGGAAAAAGTTTTGATTCCTTTAGCAGTGTGATGAAGAGTAGTACTAACACAGAGACAGAGTTTGTGGTGAAGGAACAAGAGAGAAAACAGGTAATAGGTCTTAAAGTGTCCCTTGTAAATACTACAAAAATATATGAATATATTAGTTTTTTTAATTTGATTTTTAGTTTTGTGCACTGGTATGAATGGTGATTGTTACCAAATTTGCAAGTATGTATTATACCAAAACAATGTTTAAAAGAAACATGCACAGATAAAAATCTATCCCCAGTTAAGACATTGTTTTAAGTGTTTTTATTCACCTATTATCTTTTTTCCCATTGTAATACAAGAATAGACCATAACATTTCAACTGATTATCCGAATGTGGAAAATATAAGCATGCAGATGTTCATTGCAGTTTTACTATTAATATGTTGTAAGCAACCTAAGTAGTCAATAATAGTGGAAAAGATATGTCCCTGTAACTTTATCTATTGTCATTCTGATTATGACTATGTCATCATCTATCATCTAGTATTCTGAACCTCAACCCTGCCCAATGAAAAGCTTCCTTCCACATGTATCTTCTGTGCAAAAGAAAAGAAAAAAAAAATTAAATCAGCTATTTCTCAGGTGCTTCACAAGTGCTATTGTATTTTGCTGGTAGGTCCATAGAGCTTCTAATACGTGAACAGGAACGGTGTGAATTAAGCAGTTTATTCTCAGTGACTATGATTATAGACAATGCTATTTGTTTTGATACCACACTGTGGGATCCTGGTCTTTTTTGCTATTGTTGGCCCAAGTAAATTTCATTGAATTGAGTTTACTTGCTAAATATTTGTGTTTGCAAATTTTGTTAAATTTGAGAGCACATTATATATATGACAATAACTTTTTTTCATGATCTTACTCAACATTGCAACAGGGTTTTAATAAGAAAAGAAAAGCAAAAAACATGAAGAATATGGATCACACAAAGAAGAGAAATACCGAGAGTACCTGCAACACAGTCATAAATGGGGTAACTATTGTCACCAGTTCCCAACCCCTCTGCAGTGTTTTACCGACTTCAGAGGTATCAAAAAATAACATTCCCACAAGCTGCAGCAAAACCAGAGAAGAAAAGATAACTGAAGTAGAACACTATTCCCACAAGAAGGAGGAGAAAGGTGCATTGAGTTCATATGCAGCTTTTGAACAAAGTAATTTCTTTAATAAAAAATATACTGAAGATATTTTCCCAGTGACACCACCAGAATTAGAAGAAACCGTCCGAGATGAAAAAATAAGAAGACTTAAACAAGTGCTAAGAGAGAAAGAAGCAGCTCTTGAAGAAATGCGTAAGAAGATGCACCAAAAATAATAAAAATGTTACGTACTGAAAGACTTTAATATGAAATAACTGTGTTTTTAAAATAGACTTTTGTATTAGTATATTATTCCACCCTTATCTACCAGGAATGCTTTTCAAATGGAAGGTTCAAAAGTGGAGATAGTACTGAACCCTGTATACAAGCACTGTAATACTGTTGACAGTCACTCTGATAACAGTTACATAAGTGAATAATGGTCAAGTAGCAGATATAGAGTGGATACCCTGGACAAAGGGAGGATTTATGTCTTGAGCCAGGGGAGTGTAAGATTTCATCACACTACTCAAAATGACAGAATTTTTTAAAAAGTTATAAATTATTTCTTTCTGGAATGTTCTGCTTTAATATTTCTGGATAGCAGTTGATGGTGGATAACTAAAATCACAGAAAGCAAAACTGCAGATAAACAGCGGGACTATTGTTTTTTTTTTTTTTGGATTGATTTTCTAATTTATTTTTTTTTTAATTTTTTATTGTTGGTTTTTCAAAACATTACATAGTTCTTGATAAATCATATTTCACACTTTGATTCAAGTGGGTTATGAACTCCCATTTTTACCCCATATACAGATTGCAGAATCACATCAGTTACACATCCAATATTGTTAAATTATAGATGTATTCTGAAAATGAAACCTGTTTATATTCTTTGACAATGAAACCTGTTTTTTTTATCAGTTGGTTATAGAATTTAAGAAATACAGAAGAGGGTGATTCATGTATGACTTGTGAATAATATACATGAGTTGTCTGAACCATTTTCTTAGATACCTTTTTCTGGAAGGAAAAAATTTATATTTTTCTATTATTTTAACTGAAAACTTCCCAAGTTTGAATATTTGTATATAAGGTTTTTGTTATTGTTGTATCTTTAGCTAAATTGCTCAGGTGTTACTCCAACAATAGATAATTAGTGTGTACTATTAAAATTTTACAGTCCAAGAGAGGAAATTAGCAGTAAACCTAAATTTACCTTTACTTTAAAAGTACTCTCTTGGTCTCTTTACCTGTAAAATAACGATAACTTCTACCTACCATTGTTGATTTTTAAAATTTCATTAAAAATGTAGTATAGCAGCATCATTTAAGTATTTAACCATTTTTTCAAGAGGGAAGGACACCTGTTTTGTAATTTGTCAGTTATTTTATATAATCCAAAATAATATTTGGAATTCAGGCTATTTGATATATTGTTGGCTTAAAGTGATGTGTCTTTAGACAGCAGCACCCCCTTCTCCCTTTATTCCTCCTTTCCCCCCTTTGGTAATATGTACATATGTTATATAGATGGTGTAAAAAGTATCAATACTTTTTTTTTTTTTAGTATCAATACTTTTTACACTGTGAAATGTAGTTTTTCTTAATAGAGGAATACATTTTTCTTTTTTTTTTTTTTTAATTTGGAGAGTTTGAACGTAGTGTGGGGATAGAGATTAAGAAGAGAGAAGAATTAGAAAATGATTAGCAAATATGGGGGGATAAGATTTTTAAAAATGTGTCGTGGCAACAACAGAGAAAATAGTAAATCAAAAAATACTGAATAGGATTGAAATAATTACATCAACTAGACTCTGCTGCATTTTTATTTTTACAAATAGCTTTATTGAGATATATTTCACATAGCATTAAATTCTCCCTTTTTAAAGTGTTTTTTATTCTGTTCAGAGGTGTGCAACCATCAATACACTTTGAACACAACAGGAACAAGTCCTATACCATAGCCATCACCCCATTCATTATCCCTTCCTGTCTAAGTACCACTGTTTCTGTAAAACTGTCTGTTGCAAACATTTCATCTGCATGGAGTCATACAATATATTTTAGTTTAGTTTAGTTTTGTTTTTACTTGGCCTAATATTTTCAAGTTTCATCCATGTGGTAGGATGCAACAGCACTTCATTAATTTTTGCTGAATATATTTTCTTGTATGAATATATAGTCATCCCTCAATATCTGTGACAGATTGGTTCCAGAACCCTTCCCAGGGATATCAGAATCTTTGAATAATTAAGTTATTTTATAATATGGCATAGCATTTGCTAATAGGCTACTTATCTCCACCTGTATATTTTAAATGATTTCTATATTACTTGTAATGCCTAGTACAATGTAAATTCTATGTAGATAATTGTCCTTATTGTTTAGGAAATATTGAAAAAAAATAAAGTCTGTATGTGTTCAGTACAGACAAAAAAAAATCCAAATTTTTGATGCATGGTTTGTTGTGGAACCTGCAGACAAAGAGGGCCAATTGTATCACACTTTGTTTTTCCATTCATCTGTTATGGATATTTGGATTATTTCCACTTTGGGCTACTAAAAATGTTGCTATGAATGTTTGTGTGCAAATTTTTGTATGAACATATTTTCAGTTACCTTGAGTATGTACCTAGGCATGTAATTGCTGGGTTATACAGTAACTCTGTGTTTAACATTATGTGGAACTGCTAAACAGTTCCATTCAGTTTTGCTCCCTCTACTTAAATAGATCTTGTGAAGGTCCTCAGTGATTTCCATGTTATTTAATCTTAAGGTCACCTGTCAGTCTTCTTAATAATTTCATAAACCATTAATAACTTTGATAAATATTTAAAACATTTATTACAGAGTAATGCATGTTCATTGTGGAAAAAATTAGAAAATATAGCAAGCTAAAAATCAAATCTTCACAGTCCCATCATTGAGCATTCATCACTAAAGTTATACATTCACCTTAATGTATATGCTTTCCAATCTTCTCTGTGCTCCTATATGCATGTATGTTTTTTACCAAAATAAGGTTTTTATTTTTTTATCCTGCTTTTAAAGTTAACAGTTTTCAGCCTTTCAATAAACTTTCATTTCTTACAATATTCACACCACATTCACCTATTTGACCGCAGGATATCATTTTCAACTGTTTTTTTCCAAAGCAGAATCAAAGTTAGGACTATGTGTTTTATTTAGCCGTTGTATCAATTTCTTTTTATGATATTGATTTGTTGCAAAGAACAGCCAAGTGTCCTGTTTCCTTTTACCTTGATATACATTGATTTCACTTCCAGTAGATCACACTTCTGTGTCAGTGTGTGGCTCATTTTCAGTCTCCTTTCTGGTTCCTTCTCCCCAGTTTCTTAATATTTAAGTGCTCTAGGTTTCATTCCTTTGGTTTGCTTCTCTGCTTTTGCTCACTTTCTCATCCAGTTCGTGGCTTTAAACACTAAATATTAACAACCAACAGATTTTCTTTACTTTGAAATCTCTGTCTTGGATCCAGACTTTTATAGCCAAATGCTTATTTAAATCTCTATTAGACATCTAAATAAACACCTCAGACTTTTGGCCAAAATAGGACTTGTGTTCTTTCCCCAAACCAACTTCACCCACAATTTTTTCCATTTTAGCTGATAACAATATCCTACCTGTTTCTAAAGCCAAAAAAACTTGTCATTCTTTACTTCTTTCTCACACCCTGCCTTTACTTCAAATTGGTTTGGTTTTGCTTTCAAAATACTTCAAATCTGACCACTTTTCATCTTCCATGCGCTAGGCCCTGGAGTGGATTATTAGTAGCCTCTTAAGCCCTCTCCCTCTTTTCTGCCCCTACAGCCTTGTCTCAGTACAACAACCAGTGATCCTTTTGAAACAAGTCATTCTTTATTACATGTCAGTGACTCCTATCACATGGAGTAAAAGTGATGAGGGCTAGAGATCCAACAGGAACAAATTGAATTAAAGTACAGCTCTTTGAACATCCTTTGTACACAATTGCAGTCTCATGTCCTGCTTTTGTCTAGGTAGAGAAGTCAACTTTTCCTTAAAAATTATGAACTGAGATTTGAAAGGAAACAGGATTTATGTATTTAAAGTAAAACAAAATGAAAATAAAACAATAATTAGAATATTTAATAATTCACTTTTTTCCCAGACACTTTTTTTTTTGGTATTTTGCCTATAGTAATTCACTAATCTTATAGATAAGGAAGAGAAGACAACTGGTCCAAGGTCATTGTCTGCTGTAAGGTAAATGGATAAGTAGGCTAAAAATAAGTCAGTGGGCCATTTCAGTGGTTGAGGTAAAAGCAACCCACTTTGAGAGTGGTAAAAAATTTATATTTTTAATTTAATGGCTACTGGATTTATGACCATATTGAATGTGGGTAAAGGGACAAAAGAATTAAGCATGACTAAAAGATATGTTTACTTGAGGAATCGGATGGATAGTAATACCATTAACAGAGAAGACTGAAGAGGAGCTGATTTATAGGAAATAGTGAACTCAACTTTGGACAGTTGGTATTAAAGAAGATAAAAGAAGATAACAAAATTGTGGGCTCCTTTTTGAGTATTTTTAAAGTTTGGAAAAGAATAATCTTAAAATTTTTTTTAAAGACTGGAAAGTGATAACTTCCATTTTAGTTGATTTATAGATTCTTGGAATAGTGTCTTACATATAATAAGCATACTATCAGTGTTTGTTAAATAAATGCAATTTATTTAATAGGCACCATTTTATTTCATTTTCATACCTGTTTTATTTTTCTGCTCATTTATTAAGACTTTGCAACTCATGAAAGTAATCAAGCACCAATGTTTCTTCTGATATTGTATTCCATGATACTGAAATGTGGCTTGACTCCTTTTTCATGATTTTTCCATAATCCATATTTCTGATCTCAAATGTTAACACTCTCAATCTGAAATTCACCCTAACTAGAATTTTTTCTTTCTCTTTTTCCTTTTTTGGGAAGGTGAGGCATACTGGGGATTGAGCCTGGGGGTACTCTACTACTGAGCAATAGCCCTAGCCCTTTAAAAAAAATTTTTTTTGAGATAGTCTCACTAAGTTGATGAGGCTGGCCTTGAAGTTGTGATCTCCTGCTTTGGCCTTCTGAGTCACGGGAATATTTATTGAATAGATGTATGCCATCATACCAAGCCCTAACGTTGCTTTTGTCAAGAATCTTCAATATCTATCATATTGCTAAATCTAGTAGTCAATTTGTCCTAGTCAATAGCATTTGACGCCTTTGATCATTCTGTCCTTAATGAAATGTATTCTTCACTTTGCTTCCAGGACACATTATTCTGTTTTCCTAATACCCCATTGACTCTTCTCAATCTCTTTAGCTGTTTTCTCCCCTTCTCAGATTTTCTCAATGTTGAAATTACTTAGAGCTCAATCCTTTTATGCCTTTATTTTATATCTATACTCATGTGATGGTCTCATCTAGTTCTTGAGGATCAAAATATCTACTCCTCTCTGGACCCTAAACTTCTGGGTTTTTTTCTTTCTTTTTTTTAATTTGTTTTAATTAGTTACACATGACGGTACAATGACCTTGACATATCATACATTTGAATCAGATGGGATATAAGTTCTCATTTTTCTGAGTGTACAGGTTGTAGAATCACATTGGTCATACAGTCACATATATACATACAGCAAAAATAATGTCTGTTTTATTCTGCTGACCTTTCTTTGCCCCCTTCCCCTCCCTTCCCCTCCCATCACTTCTCTCTACCCAATCTAATGTGACACAATTCCTTGTTTTTCCCACTCTATAGGTTCTTTTTTATTTTTTTAGCTTAGTTCCTCACTTTTTTTTATTGGTTATTCAAAACATTACAAAGCTCTTGACATATCATATTTTATACATTTGATTCAAGGGGGTTATGAACTCCCATTTTTACCCCGTATACAGATTGCAGAATCACATCGGTTACATTTACTTTCCTTTTTCCATTTTTCTTGGTGTATTTATACATTCCAGTTGGCCTTGGTGCTACATATTCCTACACGCACAGGACATAATTTGACCACTTTACATTTTGTCTTTTTCTCTCCTCTTTTCCTGGTCCTTCCTCTTTTCTACTGGTCTCTCCTCTATTTTCATGAGATGCCCCACTTTCCCCTTTTTCTCTTTAGTTTCCACATATTGGTTACTATTTTAATGGTGCCATATGAGCAGAATTTGAATGGGGTCCATTTTATCAATGTTTTTAGTTTATAGTTAGTATGCTTTGGCTTGCTTCCTTCCTTCCTTCTTTTCTTTCTTTCCTTTTTTTTTATCTTATACACGAGAGTGTATCTAAGGATGCTCTATCGGTGAGCTACATCCCCTTTATATTTTGAGACATGGTCTTGCTAAGTTGCTGAGGCTGGCCTTGAACCTGCCATCCTCATGTTGCAGCCTCCTGAGTCACTAGAATTATATGCATGTGCCACCGTGTCCACTCAACTTCTGCTTTCTTTTTTTTCTCTTTTTTAAAAATTATTAGTTGTTCAAAACATTACAAAGTTCTTGACATATCATATTTCATACATTTGATTCAAGCGGATTATTAACTCCCATTTTTACCCTATATACATATTGCAGATTCACATCGGTTACACATCCACTTTTTTACCTACTGCCATACTAGTGTATGTTGTATTCTGTTGCCTTTCCTATTCTCTACTATCCCCCCTCCCCTCCTCTTCCCTCCCCTCTCCTCCCCTCCCTTCCCATCTTCTCTCCCTACCCCATCTACTGTAATTCATTTCTCTCTCTTGTTTTTTCCCCCTTTCCCCTCACTTCCTCTTATATGTAATTTGTATAACAATGAGGGTCTCCTTCCTTTACCATGCAATTTCCCTTCTCTCTCTGTTTCCCTCCCCTCTCTCTGTTTCCCTCCCTGTTTAGTGGTGATCTTCTTCTCATGCTCTTCCTCTCTATTCAGTTCTTAGTTGCTCTCCTTATATCAAAGAAGACATTTGGCATTTATTTTTAAGGAATTGGCTAGCTTCACTTAGCATAATCTGCTCTAGTGCCATCCATTTCCCTGCAAATTCCATGATTTTGTCATTTTTTAGTGCAGAGTAATACTCCATTGTGTATAAATGCCACATTTTTTTATCCATTCATCTATTGAAGGGCATCTAGGTTGGTTCCACAGTCTAGCTATTGTGAATTGTGCTGCTATGAACATTGTTGTAGCAGTGTCCTTATAGTACGCTCTTTTAAGGTCTTTAAGGAATAGTCCAAGAAGGGCAATAGCTGGGTCAAATGGTGGTTCCATTCCCAGCTTTCCAAGGAATCTCCATACTGCTTTCCAAATTGGCCGCACCAATTTGCAGTCCCACCAGCAATGTACAAGTGTACCCTTTTCCCCACATCCTCGCCATCACTTGTTGTTGTTTGACTTCATAATGGCTGCCAATCTTACTGGAGTGAGATGGTATCTTTGGGTGGTTTTGATTTGCATTTCTCTGACTGCTAGAGATGGTGAGCATTTTTTCATGTACTTGTTGATTGATTGTATGTCCTCCTCTGAGAAGTGTCTGTTCAGGTCCTTGGCCCATTTGTTGATTGGGTTATTTGTTTTCTTGTTGTTTAATTTTTTGAGTTCTTTGTATACTCTGGATATTAGGGCTCTATCTGAAGTGTGAGGAGTAAAAATTTGTTCCCAGGATGTAGGCTCCCTATTTACCTCTCTTATTGTTTCTCTTGCTGAGAAAAAACTTTTTAGTTTAAGTAAGTCCCATTGGTTGATTCTTGTTATTAACTCTATACTCATGTGATGGTCTCATCTAGTTCTTGAGGATCAAAATATCTACTCCTCTCTGGACCCTAAACTTCTGTATTTAGTTGCCTCCATGATATTTACACTTGGGAGTCTAATGGACATTTTGAAATAATCTCAAACACAAACCAAATTTTGATTATCATTCATACTACAGTTTTTATTCTGTTTAATTATACATGACAGTAGAGTACATTTTGATCCATTTTTACAAACATGGAGTACATCTTATTTTAATCAAGATCCCCATGTTTTGGTTGTACATGATAGAGACCATTCTGGAAAGCAGAAAGCATGGATTGGAACCACTATTTGACCAAATTTTTCCAGTCTTTGGTATATACCAAAAGGCCTTAAAAACAGCCTACCCAAAATTTGCCTCAATAAAGGTCTTCCCTATTTATATTAGTGGCAAATCCAGTCTTCCATTTTAAAATAGAAATATTGGAGTTCACCTAGATTTTTCTCTTTGTTTTATGCCCTACAAACAGTCTTTTAGAAATTCTCTTGATTATTATATTATTATTATTATATTATACCTGGAAGCTCACTAACTCGACTGTGATTATCTTTCTCATCTGGGTTTCTGAAATAACTACCTTTCAACTTCCGCCAGTGTTGTCCTACAACTTGGCATCAGCACAATAGCCAAATGATTTTATTAAAATGTAAATTAGGAAGAAGAAAGGGCAAAACCCAATAAAAAATGGAGAAAACGTATGAGCAGAAAATTCACCATAAAAGTGAGCAGGTCATACAATTATAATCTCAGTGACCTGGGAGGCTGGGGCAGGAGGATTGCAAGTTCAAAGGCAGCCTAAGCAACAGAATGAGATCCTTAGCAACTGTCAATAGTCTGTCTCAAAAAAGTAAAAAGGACTGGGGATATATAGCTAAGAGGTAAGGCATCCATGAAATTTAATCCCCAGTACCAAAAATGGAAATATGAGGAAGGGTAAGGAACAAGAAGAAGGAGAAGAAGATGGGGGCTTATAAGAGAAAACAGGAATCAACCTGAAAGAGCTCCTAATGACCCAGGTTGAAATAATTTGCACAAAAAAGTAAATATAGTATTTGACTTTAACTCTTAGAATTAAATATACTACGGATATATACCAATATGAAAATCAAGTACATAAATGGTGGGGGGCAGGGGAAGACTTTTAACTTGTGGTAATCTTGGACTAAACATTTGTGTTCCCCTCCACCTCCCCCATTCAGATGTTGAAACTTTAATCCCTAGTGTGGGTATCCATTCATTCACATCTACTTTAATTTCTCTCAATAAAATGTTGTGGACTTCTCTATATTATTCTCTTTCTAGAAGCAATTTATTTTTGATTTGTTTGATTCAAAAATATTTTGACACCTTATTTCAGTTTTACTTTTTGTATTTTTTCTTTTTAGAAAGAAAATAAAAGAAAAACATAAAGACACATAGACAACATGAAAAAACAAGAGAAGAAAGTGTCTCAAACAAACCAGGATATTATAATAGCAGAAACCATAGACAGTAATGTTAATGAAATGTCTGAGGAGGAGTTCAGAAGGTTCATACTTAAAATGATCTGTGAATTAAAGAATGACCTAAATAAGCATAAACAGGCAAAAATTGATCACTCCAACAAAGAGATAAGAGAGCAAATACAGGTAGCAAAAGATTACTTCAAGAAAGAGAGACTCTGAAAAAAAGACCAGTCAGAAATCCTTGAAATGTAGGATATAATAAACCAAATAAAAAACTCAATAGAAAGCATAACTAACAGACTAGATCACTTGAAAGAAAAAACATCAGATAATGAAGACAAAGTATACAATCTGGAAAATAAAGTTGATCACACAGTGAAGAAAGTAAGAAACCATGAACAGAACACCCAAAAATTATGGGACAGCATCAAAAGACTAAATCTAAGAGTTATTGGGATGAAGGAAGGTACAGAG